CCGAAACGAGTCGGCGTAGCCTCTCCTGCACAGGAGGGGGCCTCCTGCACAGGAGGGGGGGGCGAAGGCGACGTCTGTTTTGGATTTGGCCGAGGAGCCATCAACAGATCCCAACGAAAGGCTGCGAACAGAATCCGCCCATCAATGTGACGCTGAAGCCCTTGGGCGCGAGTGCGCCGCCACGACGCTTAGCGAAGTGAGCGGCCGCGCCTCCGAAGTCCTCATCCCTGCATGTCCAGCATGTGTCGGGTTGATGGCCCTGCAACGATTCCAAGCCCAATTGAGCAATTGATGAAGCTTCGGTCTGATGTGAAACACTTCCGGGCGCATGCCGCGCAGAGCGGCGCACTGCAGGCTGAACTTGATCGACTGCTCATTCAGAATGTCTCCCGTCAGGCTACCACTTCTCAAGCACAGATAACACTGAGACAAATGAAACATCGCCTTTCTCATCGCGGCCTCCACCGTGACATTCGGGTCGCAGAGCTCGTCGGCGAGTGCTTTCCCATAGGGTATCATGTGCCTGAAAACGGCAGCCTGCCCTGAAAGCCGCATTACCTTCTTGTGCTTGATAGTTGTCATGGTCAAGGAATGAATGCGATCCATCTCTGGGTTCTGCTCGCACCAGGTACTCAAGCGATTCCACAACCATTGGCACTGTGCGTCGTTCGCGGGGCCACTAAATTTCTTGAGCTGAATCAATCTGAAAAAACATTTGCCCCAACAGATCTGCTGCAGCGCCCAAATCAACTGCGCGTGACCGATCGGTTTCCCAAACGGATGGGTCAACCCAAGGGATTGACATCACTGGCGATACTGTGACATCATGTTCCATCAGGTGCTGGATCAATCGCGCCTTCGTGCGCCTGTCGCTCCGCCACGGCGCCGCGCTGCAGATGCGCTGTGGCTAGAAGACCTGCGCGAGCGAGAAACGAGGAGAGCGGGGCGCGTAGGGCGAAGAGGAGCACGAGGAGGCAGGCGAGGGAGAGCACGGGAGGAGGGGCCTGCTGCGGCGTCACGTGGCGCCTCCAGCAGCGCCCCGCCTTCTCGTTGAACTGCGGGAACCCGAATAC